AAAAAAAAAAAAAAAAAAAAAAAAAAGCCAGGCATGGTAGCACGTGCCTGTAGTTCCAGCTGCTTGGAAGGCTGAGGCGGAGCCCAGCAGGTCGAGGCTGTGGTGGCTGTGAGAGTGCCACTGAGCTCTAGCCTGGGTGACAGAGTGACACTCCAACTAAAAAAACAAAAATAAAAAACAAATAGAGCTTGCTATGCTCTTTCTTTTTCTGTTTAGTAGAGATGGAGGTCTCACTAGAAACCAGGCTGGTTTTGAACTCATGGTCTCAAGTGATCCTCCCTTCTCTGCCTCCCAAATTGCTGGGGTTACAAGCGTGAGCCAACATACCCAGTCCACAAGTAGTAACTTCTTTCTGGTTATTATCAATGGTTTTTCTGTCCTTTTAAGAGCTGCACTCATATCAAGTTTGCAAACAGATGTATTGATATGTCTGTGGATATTTCTTTCTTTCTCTTTTTTTTTGAGTCCTGGTCTGACTCTGTTGCCCAAAACTAGAGTGCAATGGCGTGATCCTGGCTCACCGCGGGCTGGACCTCCTGAACCCAAGAGATCCTTCTGCTACAGCCTTCCAAATAGCAGGGACCACAGATGCAGGCCACCATGGCTAATTTTTTTTTTCAAGCTGTGTTGCCCAGGCTGGTCTCAAACTCCCGGGCTCAGGCAATCCCCCTGCCTCCCAGGTAGCTGGAACTACAGGCACATACCACCACGTCCAGATTATTATTATTATTATTTTAACCGTAGAGATGAGGTCTCATCAAGTTGCCCAGGCTGGTTTCAAACCCCTGAACTCAGGCAATCTTCTCACCTCAGTCTCCCAAAGTGCTAGGCTTACTGGTCTGAGCCACTGCTCTCGGCTCATATTTTCTTAATCAAATGTAGGTCTTTCCTGTCAGATTTCTTTAAAGATTACTTATGCAACCCTAGCCAGTGATAGCTACATTACTGTGTCACCTTAGCAAAAGGTGACAAAAATTCTTCTTCTTAAAACTGGAACTTTTTGTTTAATGATTTCTAAGTGTGGGCAACAAAATAGCTAAAAAAGAATAAAATGCTATATACCAATGGCACCTAAGTCCCTTTTTTTCCTTGACTTACTAAGCCCAGTCATGATTTGGGCATTCTCTTAGTACAGACAATGTCTTTTTAAGTTGTTAGGTTACAATCCATTAGGGGGTCTTAAAATCAATTTAGTAAGTTGCAAGCAACAGTTTTAAATTTTAATGTCATGGAATTTAATGTCATAGAACCTCTCAGAGCATAGCCCACAAAGTACTGTTATATGTTCAAGTTCTTGGTATGTAAGTACATCTATGAGTGTCTACAGATGTGGCTCTTCCTGTGACAAGAAGAAGGGAAAAAGGGGGAAAGGGAGAGGAGGAGAAGTTTGCAAAGTAGTGCCAAGAATCCGGGGTGCATGACCAATAGGATGGGCCTCTCTGAAGTGGGGGGAGTCTCAGGCCAAATTACCTTTCTTGAAACTTCTCTACAGTCTACCTTTCAATCTGGCTGCAGGATGGTTTCTACTCTGCAATTTTTTTTTTCACTCCGTCACCCAGGCTGGAGCACAGTGGCACACTCACGGTGACTCCAGAGTCGACCTGCCGGGCTCAGGCGATCCTTCCCCCTCAGCCTTCCAAGTAGCCAGAACTACAGGCATGCGCTACCACGCCTGGCTAATTTTTTTATTTTTATTGTAGAGATGAGGTCTTGCCAAGTTGCCCAGGCTGTTTTCAAACCCGTGGGCTCAGGTAATTCCCTCACCTTGGCCTCCCAAAGTGCTGGGATTACAGGCTTGAGCCACTGTGCCTGGCCTGCAACTTTTTTAAAATTTAGTTTTACTTTAAAGATGTGGGGTACAATTCAGGATTAGGTATACAAGTGAACATCATACAGGTAAAGTTTGAGCCTCTCTTTGGTCCCCACTTTGTTTGGTTTGAGATCAGGTACCCTTATTAATGTTCTGCGTCCCCTCCACCCCCACACTCTGGCAGTATCCTGCTACTGACAACCCCGTTATTAGAGTATTATAGTAAATGTTCAGGGTGCACTTATGAGTGAGAACATGTGGTATTCTGTTCTTTGTTGCTGTGACAGATCACTGAGTGTTTTAGACTCTAAATCCATCCAAGTTGCTGTGAAGTCCATTTGTCCTTCTTTATGGCTGCAAATATTCTATTGTGCATATGTACCACATTTTTTTAGCCAGTCCAGTTTCAATGGGCAGTACAGTTGGTTCCATGTTTTTGCTATTTTTTTTTTTTTTTTGAGTTGGAGTCTCGCTCAGCGGCCCAGACTGGAGTGCAGTGACCGCTCCCAGCCACCGCAGCCTCGACCTGCTGGGCTCCGGCGATCCTTCCGCCTCAGCCTTCCAAGTAGCTGGAACTACAGGCGCGTGCTACCACGTCCGGCTAATTTTTTGATTTATTGTAGAGATGAGGTCTCGCCAAGTTGCCCAGGCGGGTCTTGAACCCGCGGGCTCAGGCAATCCACTCGCCTCAGCCTCCCAAAGTGCGGGATTACAGGCTGAGCCACTGAGCCTGGCTTTTTGCTATTGTGAATAGTGCTGAGATAAAATATGTGTGGAGGTATCTTTTTTGTAGAATGCATTGAGCTCCTCTGGGTATATTCTCAGTAGGGGGTTTGCTATGGAAAGTTAATTCCTAGTTCTTTTACCTAGTCTGCAATTCTTAGGGGTTAATGAAAGACTATCTCATTACAAATGGTTCTAAAGAGTCTGAAATCATCGCACCTCCTCCTAAGAACTCCTCAGACACAGTGCAACCTCAACTTCCCCCTTTATTTTCTTGGTTTGAAGGCCACGTATCCCATTACTCACATCCTCACATTACTCTTCCATTATTTCAACAGGCACTTGGTTACAAAACTCCACTCCCACCCAATAGGCTATTAAAATGCAAATCCCCAACCTAAGAAGCCAGGAGCCTTTCACTCTGCACTCTCAGGTGCTCTCTATCTTTTCTTCCTCTCAGAATGAGAACAATTAGAGAACAAAAGGAGATAAAAGATGTTATATGTTCCCAGGAATTTTAAAAGTCAGAAGACAAGAATTGATGATACTGGGCTCAAAAGGCCTACTTGCTTCCTATCACCTCTTTTCAGGGGACACAGCCTCGCTCCATCGCTTACTTACTGGCTTTTAGACATGGGCAAGTCGCTTCCCCAGTCTTGAGTTTCAGAATCCTCACCTAGAAACCGCAGGTGTTACTAGCTTCTCTAGCTGCTGCACTGGGCTTCAGTGACTCTTGGGTGTGACTAAGTGTAGGCAAGAGTTCCAGGATTGCAACACGAGGTGGACTGGGCCACACTCCTCCATGGGCATGCCAGAACCTCTCTGTACCACGGTATTCCTCACCTGTAAGACAGGAATGGAGCCTCCTACCACCCCGTGAGGACTAAATAAGAGAATATTTATTCACTATAGCCCTGGGCATAGAACAGAAACTCAATCTAGATTAGCCGAAATGAGTCCAGGCGCGATGGCTCATGCCTGAATCCCAGCACTTTTCATACTAGGCAACACAGGGAAACCATGCCTCGACCAAAAAATTAACAAATTAGCCAGGCATGGTGGCACATGCCTGTAGTCCCAGCTACTTGGGAGGCAAGGTGGAAGGATCTCCTGAGCCCAGGATGTAGAGGCTACAGTGAGCTCTGATTGTGCCACTGCCCCCAAGCCCGGGTGACAGAGTGGGACTCTGATCCGAAAAAAGAAAAAGGGCCAGAGTATTATCCTCTATTGTCTCCAACTTAAGATGCACCAAGATCACCAGGAGAACTTGTTAACATATAGACTCCAGGGGTCTACCCCATGTTTTCTGATCCAGCACGGCTAGGCTAGGGCCTGAGAATTTGTATTTCTCTCAAGTGTCCAGGTGATATGCTGCTTTGAGAACCACTGGCCTAGTAGTTTAAAGCCAAGGCTCTGGGGCCTGGTTCTACCACTGATGACACAACTTTGTGCAAATCAATGAATCTTTCTGTGCCTTAGTTTCCTGGTCTGTAACATAAAGATACAAGAGTAACTCCCACACAAGGTGGTTCTGGGGAGTAAATGAACCAACAAGTGTCAGCATTTAGGTCACTGCTGGGCACATGTTAGTGCTATGAAGGAGTTAGCTATTGACTGGGCATGGTGGCTCACGAATGGAATTCCAGCACTTTGGGAGGCAGAGGTGGGAGAATTGTTTGAGCCTAGAAGTTTAAGACCAGCTTGAACTGGGCACAGTGGCTCACGCCTATAATCCCAGCGCTTTGGGAGGTCAAGGTGAGAGGACTGCCTAACTGAACGGGTTTGAGACCAGCCTGGGCAACTTGGCAAGACCTCATCTCTGCAATAAATAAAAAAATTAGCTGGGCGTAGTGGTGCATGCCTGTAGTTCCAGCTGCCTGGAAGGTTGAGACAGAAGGATCGCCAGAGCCCAGCAAGTTGAGGCTGCAGTGGCTGTGAGCGTGCCACTGCCCTCCAGCCTGGGCGACAGAATGAGACTCTGACTCAAAAAAAAAAAAAAAAAAAAAAAAAAAAAGATCAGTCTGGGCCACACAACAAGACCTCATCCCTACCAAAATAAAATAATTTGCCAGGCATGGTGGCAAGCACTTGTAGTCCCAGCTACTAGGGAGGCTGAGGTGCACAGATAGCCTGAGCCCAGGAGATCAAGACGGCAATAAGCCCTGCCACTGCCACTGCACTCCAGCCTAAATGAGAGAACCCCAACTGCAAAAGAAAAGTTATTACTGTCATAATAGGGGCTTTTCTCCGCGGATCAAGCACGCCTACCTTCATTTGCTTTGCTTTTGGTCAGAAGGACCCCGATGGGCCTGTCGGGGTCGGGCTGGCCTGAGCGCCCCGGCTGCCCCCTCTGCTCGGGGCTGGGGCTGCGCGAGCGCAGGTGGTCGCGACTGCGGCTCCGGGCCACCGGGTAGCGGCCGTCGTGCTGGCCCCTGCGGCTGTACTCCCCCGACGGGCTGTAGGCCCGCTCGTAGTCGGGGTCGTAGGCCTGGTGACAGGCTCGATCGTAGTCGCGGTCGATGCTCCGGCCACGGCTGCGATCCCCCTCGCGGGGTGGCCTGTAGTCCTGGTCCAGGCCCCGCTCCAGGCTCCGGCCGCGGCTGCGGTCCCGGCTGAGCTCCCGCTCCCGGCTCCGCGCCCGCTCGTGGGGGCGCCCCCTCTCCGGGCTGTCCTCCCAGCTGCGGCTGCGCCCCCCGCGGCTGCTCAGCTGGCTCCTCTCGCTGTACCCACTGCGGAAGCTTCTGCCGTCAAACTCGTCCATCGCCTCAAAGGCCCGGTCGTCATGACCCAGGGGAGGGCTGCCCTGCAGCGGGGCCACCTGGACTTTCCGGGGCCTCTTGACCACCTGTCGTCCAAACAAACACAGGGGGCAGGCGGACAATCCCAAGTGAACCTAGAGAATGCAGTGGTTAAGAGCCGCGGCTCCAGTTCCAGTAAAGCTGTGTCCCCGCCAGCTCACTAAGTTCAGGTTCCTCATCAGGAAACAGGAACAATAAAGACCTCACAGGGTCAGAATAAAGTAAGACAATGACTTGAAGCTCTCAGTACTGGGCCTTGAATCAAGATAATAATAATAGTCCTTCCAAAACCTGCTTCTACAGTCTGAAAAGCCCAGGAGGCCTAAACCACTAAGTTCTAAAATGCAAATGAAAATCCAGAAAGTGTCACATTCTACATATAAATGACTAGGGGAAAGGAGGATGAAAAAAATTGATTAATGGGTACAAACATATGGTTTGATAGAAGAAATAAGACTTAGTGTTAGACAGAACTGTAGGGTGACTATAGTCTACAATAGTCTATCGTACATTCCAAAATAGCTAGAAGAGAATATTCTAATGTTTCCAAAAAAAAGACACACATTTAAGGTGATGGACAGCTCAAATACACTGATTTAATCTTTAAAAATTACATGAATGTATTCAATTCTCATGTGTACCCTGGAACTATGAACATCTATTACGCATCCATTTTTTAAATTGTTTTTTAAAAAGTCAATGCCGCCGGGCTTGGTGGCTCAGCCTATAATCCCGCGCCTTTGGGAGGCTGAGATGAGTGGATTGCCTGAGCCCGCAGGTTTGAGACCTGCCTGGGCAACTTGACGAGACCTCATCTCTACAATAAATAAAAAATCAGCTGGGTGTGGTAGCGCATGCCTGTAATTCCGGCTACTTGGAAGGCTGAGGCGGAAGGATTGCCGGAGCCCAGCAGGTCGAGGCTGTGGTGGCCGGGAGTGGCCACTGCACTCCAGTCTAGGCAACCGAGTGAGACTCCAACTCAAAAAAAAAAAAAAAAAAAGTCAATGCCATTAAAGGAGTGGGTGGGGGTCAAAGAGGGGAAAGAGAGACACTTCTAGATTAAAAGAGACTAAAGTGAGTGAACTTTAGATCCTGGATGGGGAAGACAAAAACATCTATTAAAGACATCTTGAGCTATGGACTGGGTATTAGATAATACTGGAGTTACTAATTTTCTTAGACACTATAGCATTATAGTTATGTAGATAACTGTCCCCATTCTTAAGAGACATTTGTTGAAGTAACCAGGAATTAACTGTCATGTCTGCAACTTTCCTTCAAATAGTTTGCCAAAATTATGTAGGAGTATTTATATATCCAGAGAGAGAGAGAGATCCAGTAATATCAACATGTTAGGCAGAATATTAATATTTTAGGAGATATATGTTTATTACACTGACCTTTCACAACTTTTCTTTTTGTTCATAATATAAAGTTGAACAAAAATGAAATACCATATATTCAGAATATCCCCCCGGCATTGTCCTTAAACACACTTTATTATAATTCTTATGGTGTGTGTCCACCTGCCCTGCTTGGAGTGACCATACCTGGTGGCACAGACTGGCCCGAGGACCTAGCGGCATCTGGCTCTTAAGTAATTCTCTGTCAATGTGTACTGAATGAATGAATGAGTAAATAAATGAATCAATGGTACACACCATCCCTGTCCTCTAAGAAACTCTTAGTCTGTGAACTGTTAAGAGATCTTGTTTGGGCCTTGACAAATGAGTTTTTGAGCTGAAATTTTTTTTTTTTAGTTAATTCTGTTTTTCCCAGGGTTCTGAATCTAGCTCACTCTCTTAGGAATAACAGTCTAAGTTCCTAAGGCAAACTCGCTCAGATAAGTGAATCCTTGGTCTCAGAAGAAGGACTTGAGGAAAGGACTCCCCCAAAATATGGAGGGTCCCTGGGTTATGTAATTCTGTCAAACACTTTGAAGCAAGTGGTAATTTTCTTCTGGGCGTCAAAACAAAATGCCATTGAGGCAAGCAGGAAGCAAACCCAGCACTTACAATAGCAGCGATCTTCCCACTTTTTCTCAACTGCTGAACTGCAAATGAGTGTAGGACGTCCTCCATGGGGGTTCCATTAACCATGACCACTCTGTCATTTTCTCTGCAAACAAGAAGACAAAATGGGTCATGAAAAACTCCCATCTATTCATTGTAAATCATTTATCTAGGAACAAACAGAAGCAGCAAATGGACCCGAAATGTTTATTAAAGGGCTCAGTATCTGACAGCTCACAAAGCTCAGTCAACTTGGCCTGAGCACTTCTGAGCAAAGAAGCTCCATTCCGAGAATGTCTAACGGAAACCATCTGAGGAGAAGAGGCCTGCCCTACCCAGACCACAGGGTCACTCCAGGAGGCACTCGATGGTGGCGGGGGGTAGACAGAAATTTCTCTTATCAGTTCCTCACTGCCCAGGGTGCAAGGTCTACAGACACACCCCCCAACAGTAGGTGTACATCCATGTGTGCTTTTATGAAGGGAGGGAAAAAATCAAGAATTTGCCTAAGATCCTTTTTATTTTATTTACTTATTTGTTTATTTAGAGACAGGGTCTTGCCCTGTCACCCAGAATGGAGTGCAGTAGCACAGTCAGAACTCAACTGCAGCCTCAAACTCCTGGGCTCAGGCAATTCTCCAGCCTCAGTCTCCTGAGTAGCTGGAACTGTAGGTGTGTGTCACCACACCTGGCTAATTTTTTTTATTTTTTGTAGAGCCAGGATCTCAATTTGTTGCCCAGGCTGGTCTCAAACTCCTAGCCTCAAGCGATCCTTCTGCCTCAGCCTCCCCAAGTGCTGGGATTATAGGCATGAGCCTCAGTCTGCCTTAGATTCTTGAAGAAAGTTTGAGATCACAGAATCTCAACTATTACCTCAGCTCACTTGAAAAATTACTTTAAAATTTTACATTGTTCCATATGTAAGGCCATTAATTTTGATAGGATTATAGAAGACTTTAAATTTTGGGCAACAGAAACTGAACTTTGGAGCTATCTGGCCAACGCAACTATACAGCTAACTTTAGGTTCTGCTCTGAAAAGCCTGAGAAGTTAACCTGTGAGAATCAGGCATGCATCTTTTTTTTTTTTTTGAGTCAGAGTCTCACTCTGTCACCCAGGCTGGAGTCCAGTGGCCTCAGCCTTCCAAGTAGCTAGAATAACAGGTGCATGCCACCACACCCGGCTAGTTTTTTTTATTTATTTTAGAACCAAGATCCCGCCAAATTGTCCAGGCTGGTCTCAAACCCCTGAGCTCAGGCAACACTCTCCCCTCTGCCTCCCAAAGTGCTGGGATTGCAGGCGTAAGCCACTGTGCCCAGCTCAGGCATGCATCTTTTAAAATGGTGTTATTTCTTAGGGCCAGAAGGCTGGCAGTTGGAAAACTTTGGCTTTCCTGTAGTAAATTTTTCCAATTTCCACAACAGTCTTACAAATAAAACCATCATTAGCAAAGTCTCCTCGTTAAATTCTTAAAGACTATAAACTAAAACAAACATAAACAATGTTAGGTAAGCATTAGGGAGGAAAAAAAGGCTGCCAATTTTAAACTCCATGTTCAGCTAGGCACGGTAGCTCAAGCTGCTATTAATCCCAGCACTGTGGGAGGCCAAGGTGAGGGGACTGCCAGAGCCCGCAGGTTCGAGACCAACCTGGGTAACTTGGCGAGACCTCATCTCTACAATAAATCAAAAAACTCAGCTGGGCGAGGTAGCACACGCCTGTAATTCCAGCTACTTGGAAGACTGAGGTGGAAGGATCGCCTGAGCCCAGCTGGTCGAGGCTGCAGTGGCCAGGAGTGTGCCACCACCCTCCAGCCTGGGTGACAGAGTGAGACTCCAACTCAAAAAATAAATAAATAAACTCCATGTTCAGAAACGATTCCTAAACTTAGGACAGATGGTTGTAACTATCTTCCTATGGAAACAACTGTCCTGCTTCCTCCAAAGGTTGGATGTTCCCAAAGGTTTAGGAATTGTCCATACAGAACATGTGATGGCCTCAGTTCTTTCTTGAAGACTTCTCAAGTATTATATAAAGGTTGTTATTATTTTAATTTTAAAAAGTGGACACCAACCAAAAATATTTATCTAGAGCCAACCAGTGGGTCTGGCAGGGATGGGACAGGAGAGGGATGCGGGGATGGGATACTCACTGAAGCAAGCCATCAGCAGGCCCACCTGGAAGCACATCTGAAATGACAATTGACGTTTCTCCATTTTCAAAGTGGGGGTTGTCTCTGCCTCCGGACACTGCAATTCCAAATCCTCTTTTGGAATCCTGTTCATTGGAGTTAGGAGAAAAATTAAAAATTCCTCAGTAAGTGGCTTTCAGGATTTATGACAAGCACTCAATAAAATCAAGGTCGAATCAGTAACTAGAGACCTTCAGGAACAGATGGGCTTACAGAAAGGAAAGAGAAACAAAACAAAGCCTTGTCACAATCAGCTGACAGTTTACAAAGGGAAATTCCTTATCTGAAAGAAACAGCCTGCCAAAGCTGGAAAAAGATTGATAGGACAGACTGGAGTTATCACTATAAGCTAGCAGGGATCGGAAATCATGTCTCCTGCTCAAACAGGGGTGTGCTGCTTGAAGCACTAATCCTACCTCTTTGCATCATGCTGGTCTGAGTTAAAACAACTTCAGTAAAAACCGAATCTATGCTAAAAATGTATTTTTAATGTATACCTTTAAGCTTCAAGTTAGATCATCTTAATACAGGGTGAAAAAGAAGTGAATGGAATTTAAAGATAAAAATCTGAACATATAATTAGTGTCGAGATCTTAGGAGAGAGTCAAGCGTTAAGCCCTTTTCTACAAGCATAGAAGACAGGAAATAAAGACTTATTACATCTATGATTGGTCTAGCACTGCATAACAGTGAACCCAGGTAACATAATCCTAATTCATTTCAGTGTTCAAAAAAGCTAAGCCCGGTTTCATACAGATGATACGGGTATATGTGACTGTATAATCCTAAATCAGGTTTTGATTATATGAAAATCTACTCAGAGAGAAATGAAAAGCTCACCCTCCACCCCCCAGCCAAAGAAAAATTTCTATGTGGGGCCCACTAGGCTGACTGATTACAAACAATCACAAACTCAAAACAGGTTGGGTTTTTGTCTATTAATCACATGACTTTGATTCTGATGGCACTATCACCCGGCACCTGGGGTTTATACAGAGGTAGCTCCATCTGCTATACTAAACCTAAAAAGTCTCTTACTTCTGCCAATTTGGGATCCACAATTCAAAGAGTGTATGAAATCCCCAGGGAAAGAGCACAGAGAAGAGTCAGAAAGAGTTCAACAATAAGACCTAAGGCTGGGCGCCATGGCTCATGCCTGTAATCTCAGCACTCTAGGAGGCTGAGGCTAGAGGACTGCCTGAACCCAGGAGTTCAAGACCAGTCTGGGCAACATGGTGAGACCTTGTCTCTACAAAGAAATAAAATCATTAGCCAGGCATGGTGGCACATGACTGTAGTCCCAGCTACTCAGGAGGCAGACGTGGAAGGACCGCCTGAGTCCAACAGGCTGAGGCCTGGGTGACATAATGAGACTCCGACTCAAAAAAAAAAACAAAAACTGAAACAGGCCCCAAAAGAACCCTTCAACTGATAAAATCATGATTACTGATCTGGAAGTGTGGGTACTTGGGCAATGACCCAGCAACATCTGTTCTACCTGGATTAATTCAATAGACATCAAATTCAGCAATGCCTTTAATTTTCATTGATGACGAGGCTCGAAGCTCACAGTTCTGAGGGTCCTAGGAAAACTCTCCTTGTGAGGAGAACTTACAGTCCCCCTAGGAAATGACAGACTGGAGGGATTCAGAGCAGGAAGAAGATCCCCCCTGCAGGACCCAGGAAAATCAGAGTGATGCTGACTCAAGGCAGCCTGATGCAATAGGAATTCAAGACCATGAATGTGGTTCTAGCCTGCTCAGTCATTCTCAATGACTTACAGACTCTTGGCTCCTACACTTGTTTAAAGTGGGGTAACCACCCTTATCATGTCTACCCTGAACTTGGTTGTCAGAATAAAAAGGAATGGAACTGACATGTATTTATTAAGCACTGATTATCTGCCAGACTCCATGCATTGGAAGCTGTATGAATTACCTTATTTTAACAAGAAAGGTAATATGAAATGACTTGAAAACTTAAGCAAAATATAATCACCCGGGGTATGACTTATACTTTTTTTTTTTTGAGTTGAAGTCTTACTCTGTCGCTCAGACTGGAGTGCAGTGGCACGCTCCTAGCCATTGCAGACCTGACCTGCTGGGCTCCAGCGATACATCCACCTCAGCCTTCCAAGTAGCCAGAACGGAACTACAGGCGTGCGCTACCATGCCCGGCTAGTTTTTTTTTATTTATTGTAGAGACAAGGGCTCACCAAGTTGCCTGGCTAGGTCTTGAACCCGCAGGCTCAGGCAATCCACTTGCCTCGACCTCCTAAAATGCTGGGATTATAGGCTGAACCACTGAGCCCAGCGATTTATACATTCAATCCCATGGAAGTGGCTAGACAGGAGAAGAAAATTTTAATTCGATTAATTCAGTCCCTTTCAATAGAATCAGGAGTGGAACAAGCAATAGAATCCATGTCCAGGCAATCTTTTCCTATTTCATTTGGCCTTTAAATTCACCAAAGTTTATTGGTATGTACATTATAATTAAAGTTATAGTCCGGGCTCGGTGGCTCAGCCTGTAATCCCGTGCTTTGGGAGGCTGAGGTGAGTGGATTGCCTGAGCTCGTGGGCTCGAGACCCGCCTGGGCAACTTGGCAAGACCTCATCTCTACAATAAATTTAAAAAAAGTTAGCTGGGCGTGGTAGCACGCGCCTGTAGTTCCAGCTACTTGGAAAGCTGAGCGGAAGGATCGCCGGAGCCCAGCAGGTGGAGGCTGCGGTGGCTGGGAGCATGCCACTGCACTCCAGTCTGGGCGACAGAGTGAGACTTCAACTCAAAAAATAAAATAAAATAAAAAATAATTATAGACGTTGTAAAAGCTACCTCAACATCCTTAAACATACAGGGTTTTTTTTTTTTTCATTTTTCCCTCCCTTTTCTCTCTTCTATAATCTGTTCTGTCTGGAGACAGGTGGATGTAGTAAAAAACTACTAGAATGCTCTATATCATTCAGGCCTTCAACAAAAACTATCATAGCATTCAAATCTTTAACATGGTCATTTTTGCCAGCTAATTCCTGCAATTCATTATCCAGTTCATAAGGAAAAAAAACCCCAAAACTGTGTGTGGGCAAAAATGAATAAGATCCATGATCCATCAAATCAAGAGCAGACCATATGAAATATGCAGGACTCACCTTTTGTAAGGTCACAGTGTACTGTTCCCATATCAGCTCTTCCATGCCTGGGGCCTGTTTTAAAAGATGCAAGACCAATTTGATTAAAACACAAACATTTCAATACCAGAAGTAAAATTATAATTCAAAATGCTTTAATATAAAAGTCCAGCTCACACTTCCTATTATATATCAAAAGAAGTTAATATTCGTGCGTTATGCTATTTTCAAATACAGTCTCCTTCAATAAAATGGCTACAAACAATACTAGAAAATGAATGAAATACACTGAGAGATCCTAAAAAGAATGAAATGTTAAACGCCGAACCCTTTTATTTTAACCACTTTAAAAACCATCATCACAAAACCCCTTAAAACCCATCTAGTTTCAAATGCAATTTAAACTACTCCCACCCTCCTGTCAAAGTGACCTTGTAGGCACGTTTTCTTTACATTTATGCTTGAAAAATAATATTATTGGCCTTGTCATGGGTGTCCCCAATTGGGTAATCTGTGGGATTTGGGGGGGTTTCTTCCCTCAGTATCACTGGGCATGAAAGATAAAAATGCCTGCATAAACAGATCATTGGGGCTTCCATTTCTGACAACATTGCATAACAGATATCTAGGAAAACTCGAAAATGATGACTAATACCTACATGCAGACTGCCTTTGAGAAGGCTAGAAATGTCAAGAAAGCTCAAGAGCACAGAGATAACTCAGTACTGAAGCAGGTTTTAAAACAGAAGGCGAGCTGGGCTCGGTGGCTCAGCCTGTCATCCCGCGCCTTTGGGAGGCTGAGGTGAGTGG